CATGCGTAAGTACTATACAACACTTTTTTATTTTAATAAATATAATAAAACATCATTGAACGTGGCCGATTCTAACAGACTCCTAAATCCAAATGAAGGAGGTTATATGTTCGATGAGGATGCTTTTTCCGTCAATTGTTGACCTATTTGCAAAATTCTTTTAAATTTAAAAATCTAATTAGTTCTTTTCCTTTTATAACAAAACAAATTACGATTTTACCATTTCATGTATTCCAGCTAAACACAAAAGGAGGATTTTCTATGTTCAAGGAGTATGTATATTTTTTACGAAAGTCTGCATGTCAATCGATTTATTCTTGAATTGTGAACCAATTTCTATTCAAACTAGGTGTTTCCTCGGGACATCTCTTGTGTAAATTACAGACTATGTCCAACGCGTATTATGTAGCTTCCCATAAATTAAAAACTTATAAATCGGTCCAATAGGACTGACGAATTTTTCAAGTACTTGATACTTTTTCGCCACTACAGAGCGTATTTTCATCAATGTTCAGGCAATCTACCCAAACAGACGAAAGAAATAATATTTTTACATATATATGTATAAATATTTAAACTTACACACACAATACTGACAATAGCCCATATGAATTTAGTAATAGCTCCATCCCGAGTATTCAATATTCAATTCAATAGACAATCTATTGTGTTTTCTGATTATCAGCTAATAATGACTTTGGACATAATATATTTGCTGCCGAAAATGGGGACCGAACATGGAGCAAATACCTATCGAACTTATTTGTATAAGTGCTTACACTTCTGACGTTCCTTCAGAACAGACTTTCCCGGAGTACTTAACATCCACCAAATATAGTTAATATATTTCATGGAACGCCATACCAAATGATTACAAACAAACGTGTACGCTGACTTTCAATTGGTTTTCCATTGAGAAATAATATCTACTTAAATAAGTATTAAATTAATTTATACAAATATCTCGTTAGACAAACTAACGAAAGATTTACTTTTCTTATCTTGAAAATAGGAGCTCTTTTTTATGGAAAAAAAATATATATATATAGAGCTGGTGAGTTTCTTGCTCGTTCTTCTTATCAGCCAAAAGACGTCCTGAACGAGCGGTAGTAAAAAAATTTTAGACGATTCAAAAGTACTTTTAAGAAGTCTATTTGAATAAAGATTATTTTGACTTTTGACTTTGATAAATATGTAAAAAAATGTTTTTGTGAGTCATTTTTATGCCAAGGGTTACATACGACGTACTTTTGAAATCATCATTATATCAGCCTATTGCAGGCCACCCCAAGAGTGCGCCACAAAACATGAACAACTTATTTAAAAAAAAGCTATTGAAGTCGGATGGAGGTTATCTGTATGTTTATTAATTTAATTTTAGGCGCCAGACTTCAATACATTTTCTGGAGTAAGTGTCTTTTGAGATAATTATTAATTAGTTTAATAAACAATCAAGTCTTTCCTCTTCATAATGTTAGTATAGATACAGATCCATATAAATAAAAAACAAATATTTAAACTTACGATAAATATGAAAATTTGTTCTAATTATTATGTTGCAATGCTTTACTGGAAAATGTTGTTAATGAAAAATGAAAAATCTTTTTTCTAATACTTTCACTGTGTTGATTATTTTTACTTATATAGATCTGTATCTATACTAAAATTATAAAGAGGAAAAACTCGATTGTTTGTCTGATTATTTTTTGTTTGCACCGAATAGGCTCCGAAAGTACTAGATAGATATTAAAAATTCTATCCCCTACACAAAGCTACATCATATGCGGTGAATATAGGCTATAATTATCCTGAAAAACAACAAATGAAGACATGAAAATGGGAGTGCTAGTTTATCTAGAGAATGAAAACGTTACCATAGCAACGATTGTTTACTATTCAATTTGTCATTGTACTAGAGTTTTGTGGCGCACTCTTGGGGAAGCCTGCAACAGGCTGATATGATGTTGATTGCAAAGCGTAGGTAACCCTTGGCTTCAAAATGACTCTCACAAAAATATTATATATATATATATATATATATATTTGGTATGGGGTTCCATGAAATAAATTAACTATATTTGGTGGATGTTAAGTACCCCGGGAAAGTCTGTTCTAAAGGAACGTTAGAAGTGCAAGCACTTATACAAATAAGTTCGATATTTGCTCCATGGTCCCCATAGGTCCCCATTTTCCGCAGCAAATGTATTATGTTCAAAGTCATTATTAGATGATAATCAGAAAACACAATAGATTGTCTATAGAATACTCGGGATGAAGTTATTACAAAATTTATATGGGCTATTGTCAGTATTGTGTGTGTAGAAGAAGAAATTATTCTTATTAAAACAGGAAAAAGGAAAAAAACAAGTCAAGTGAAAGAGTTGAAAAAAGACAAATGACGATCAATGTTTCTTCTTTATAGTGCCATCATTTCACTTGGGTAGTTTGAGGTTGCGAATATGCACCAATGCAACCTCTTTTCGAGTTCGTAGCACCCGTAGCTGGGACATAGAACAGTTTTATTTTATTAGTTAAATAAATGAATTTCAAATAGGTAGCTTGGTTTTCTTTTTTTGCATGTTAGATTTAAAACTTAGCATGAAAATCTCACAATTGAAGTTTGGCGTTTTTCATGAATAAAAAAGCTTATTATTTCTATTAATAAAAGTCCATGCAATCAATGCATCTTTGTCAACGCATTGGTTACCCAAATTCTGAAAAAAGTAGAAGTCTATAAGCGCAAGGTCTGGTGAGTCCTACGGCGGATGACCGAGAAATTTCAACCCCAGCTTCATTGAGTTCGTATGATACCCATTCGTCAAGCTTGGCAAGGTAAAAAACCTTGCCAACGTGATGCAAATTTACCGATATTGTTTTGATGCTAACATCGACCAAAGTTTTCGGACGACCACGGAGTTCGTTTTTCAGTTCGAAATTTCCAGAGCGGAAGCGGGCAAACCAATAACAGACCAGACCAGTGGTGTTTTCGTTTGTAATGTTCACTCCGTAAGCTTCGACGATGTTGCGTGCCGCTTGTGCCGCTTTGCGGCCACGACGGTACTCCATGACGACGAAAAATGTTCGTATGCGTTGAAAACGAAACACTTACTGTAAAAAAAAAAAATCGAAAAAGTATTCCACGTTTTTTAAATAAAATAATTTGAAATTAGAATTATCAGCCAAAAAATATTTTGATTTGCAACGGCCAGTATGGCAGAACGGCAATTTCAAAGGTAAAGACCTATTATTAGCCAATTGGATAAATTAACGGATAATACGAATGATTACTGTAATATGTTAAAAGAAACAACTTAAAAATTTAAGTAGCAAAATAAGGATAGTAGTTCAAAGTTTTTAAGGTTATAAGTGAAAGACGCACGATGGCGATATGAAATTTTCCCAAGAAAAACCATGACAGAAAATCCTACAACTTCTTTTGTATTTTTTTTTTTTACATTAATTTGAGTGAACAGTTCTTTTTGTATGATTCTTATATTAACAGACCGCATTAAAAATACTTCTCAATAAAGTTAAAGTAAGAAATAATAGAACAAGTCATAGGGTGGTAAAAAGTTAAATGGTTTAACAAAAATAAATTGGTCGCAGAAGAGTTTAGGGCAGGAAATGGTTTAAAAACTAAATCTTGAAATTAGCCAAATAGCATTGGCTAAAATACCTATAGTTAGCAATAGGATTTATCCTCAGAATGCTTTAAAAAGCAGACAATATAATGTGACTACCTTCTGAGACCATTGATAGATGTCGCCCCCATAAGTTATATTAATTTGATAAACATTTGATAAAAAATGTGCATTATAACTTTAATAATAAAACTATGTACATTCACTAACCAATACGATATCACCTGCTCAACCGTATTAAATTTTTAATTAACTATTTAAAACCATTGTAAACTGACATGATTTACTTATATTACCTTAAAATTTTAGTAAACTTAAATCAACTAACGTCCTTCTTAGCTGCCTGCATAGATAGGTATTAGGCACCCTACACTACTATAGGTACTTATATTCCATTCATTATTACAATATTATTATACAATATTCCTTCCCTTTTTCTCTACTTTTACATTGCGTTTGCATGTCATTGGAATTTCAATGAGATTGAATATCCACGAACAAAATGTTAGCATTCCCTCATACTCATGGTTTTTACCTACTGTAATTATTGACATAGTTCATTATTTTTAACTAGCGCGACTACCAGAGCGCGGCAGAAATCTGTCATGCTACGCTACATACGCAGGCTGTGCTGACCCTACTCGAGCTTGTGTCGATAACCCTACGAGACGGACCAACCATCACGCCTGCGCACCGCGCCGCGCCATGCGGTGACGTCTCAGAGGCGGCACTACTTTGAAACATTCCAATGAATTCGCAACCATCACCTAACTTTCATATTTCAACTGCCACAACAGGGACAATCTATAATTAAAAATTTACGTCTTTATTTATGAATAGCCGTTAATAAACTGTAAAAAGACAATTTCAATTGTTATCTTATACGAATATAAATCATGTGAATAGCTAGCCACCACTCCAGTGTGCCGCCTTTCGAATGCATTGCATTCCAACACACAGATGGCAGCACTGAAAATATTTGACATTCCACGGATTCCTATCGCAGTGGGCTCGGCTCAAATGTCAAACGCGACTATTTCGTCAACAGAGTCGTGGCGCGCCAGTTGGATTTTATGAAATAATAACAAATAAAACAGTGTAGTTTACGGACAATGTTAATAAAACTTGAAGAATCCGATAAGTTTTTTCGCTGAACACAACACAGCTGCCATTCGTGATAATACAACGAGTGCAAAGGGAGCTCTTGCGATTTCGTTCTATCGATTTTTGTTCGTCGCCGGTTTAAACATTGTTATGAAGTTTTACTTACTTGGATAATTTGTTTGCATTGAACCTGAAGGACATACTAAGTTATTAAGAACGTTATTTAAGTGGTATTGATTATTTCTTAATTAAGATAATTGTGAAACATCGTGGGAAAACCTATTTCGTGAGTTTGTTTTTCTTACAACTGCATGACTTATAAATGGTTTCAACCTATAGTTGAAATCATTACTCCTTAAATTCAAATATTCATTACCTATATTAACTGTTGAGATACGTATAAATAACACCCATTGCGTATCCTTATCCAGAGTGAACATACCTAAATGTTACAGTAAAATTTAAGCAATTCCCTTTACCCTAGATTAATGCTTAATGCCACTCAAGAAATATAGAGTTTGCCAATAATTTCGTATAAGTCCAATAAATCAAATAAGTAGGTGTATATTACCTACGTTACATTAAGATATACCTACTATATAGTTACGGATTACCTACTGGTTAAAATTGAGCTTCGCAAAAAATTCGCCGCTATGCGGACAGCGCACACTGTAGACTTCGAGTACCTACTTATTGATGTAATGGAATTCGGTAGGTAGTGTATGTTTGTGTGGAATTCGATCGAATGCTGAAGCATGGTTAGCGTGGGCGATGATAAGAGAACGATAAAGCATACGTCCGATTAACCAATGTGACCCCGAATGGTTTTATATGATGTTGTAATGCCAGTCAGCTCGTCTAACACTATCCGCATTCTTTTAAAACTAGGACTAATGTTAGAACTTAGTAAATTGAAAATTACAGAATAGAAAATTTCGAATTGACACGTGTTGACTTATTTTGCCCGGATATTGTAAGTCTTCGTTATAACAGTATACGTTTGATTGGTTTTTTAAGTAATAAATACAAAAATACACTATTCATGGGGTAATTAAAACTATTGGCATAAACTGTCATTTACGTAACCAATTTTAAACGCAATAGTCAATTTCACTTTAATGATTTCGTTCAATATATTAAGGCCAAATGGAAAAGTTTGATGGATTGAATTAGACTATTTATTATAGTCAAGCCTTTTTACTAAACGACGCGATTCATTTGCAATTGTCACAATATTGTATTTGCGCAGGCAGTGACAGTCCTATCTTATCCAAAATCGTGGTCATCTGAGCACTTTTTTTAATCTAATATCCAACATTTTCTATTACCTCAAAATGCTTTAGATAGAAATAAATCCAGTTTATTTTAGATGCCATTGTTTATATTTTCATTGGCCAAAAAAAAAAACTATTATCATATTTATAATTCATAAAGTACACATAATAATTACAGTTTTATTAACCTCCCATAGAACATATGGTAAAGTTTCGTATGGTAAAATTTCTCACTTATAAAATTATAATTATCAATTAAAAACTGGACTCGTTTACAAAACTATCGCCAGTAAGACAGTAAGTTATGACGCTTGGCGACAAAAAATGCTAACTATTTTGCAAACATTTCTAACGAAATGAGCCTGTTCTAGTCATTTTATTTGTCATTCTATTTTTAACTGTTAACAAAAAATAGAGATCTATCAAATTATCCGCTTACATCACTAGCATTATATTTTTTATTTGTATTATATTTAAAAAATACATTCGGACATTGAACAAACAAATTTGGGCAGACACACAATGAGGATGATCGAATACTCATGGAATTCATGACGACCTAGATTATTTATTGTTACATTACTTCGTGTTTTTAGCTGGCCAATCAAAACAGATAAGGTAAAACTAAAACCAATATTTTATACACACATAAACACTATGTAAACACTCGATCATTTCCTAATTGTCATAGAGCTTCTAGAACTAATTTGCGTAATTCATTTAGCCTGCAAATAAATAAGTATTACTCAAAAGAATAGTAATGTAAAAAAAGCAATGTAACTCGTTCTTTACTTTATACAAGTAAATCTTCGTGCATAATATAAAACTTTGAAACTATATTCTGTTACGCAGGCGCACCAGTTTTTGAACATCTGCTGTTCTTCAATTCTATCCCCTTAGCCACGTGCGTACAAACACAGCAGGGGTAGTAAAATAATACGCATCCTAAAACGTGGTCGTTCGCACCCGCAAATTCTAACCTTAATCACATATACCCAAAGTTCAAACTTAAAAAGTACGACCAATTAACAAAAATAGATTATTATTTTTAACATTCGGAATGTCAAGGTTTTACCACCATCGATTCTCTTTTGGAGACTGGCAGGTGATAGCAGTATGTTGGTTTATACTTATAATGTATTGAAAGTTATTATTACGTTAGCTTAAAAGGCATCAAATAATTAACATATACTAGGTTAATATTATTTCCAATTTTAAAAGTGATCACCGAAATACGGATCCCATAAATTAGGTTTACTGAATCGCGATATGCGAATGCTTCTACGCACTGCATTACCTGTAGTTTAATCATCAAAGAATAATAATAATTGGTTTGACAGATGGTAAAATTGCGTGTCTAGAGTTAAGACAAATTGAAGAACGTTATCACTTCTTACTTTTATATTACGAATGATAATGATGGGTTTTAGTTTTCTATATTTTACTTAAATGAAAATACGTACATGTTTATTAATTAATTAATGGCCATTAGTGTCTTCAATTGTAGTATTTTGGCAGCGGTATTTTAAGCTATTAAAGGTAGCTCATATTTAATAAAACTCATCAGAATGTTTTTAATATTTACAATCTTCATATTGCGTCAATTATATATTATTTAGTAAATTAACAGTTAGGTATATAAAAAAAAAAATTATCATAGACTTACACTAACACAAATCAACAAGTTTCACGACCATATAAGTACTCATTGAATCCTAAGTTATTTTATTATATTTCTTGGCTTACTAATAGCATCTCTATATTTTGTTCCAACAATATAATAGGTATTAAATTATATAACGTTACGACTCGATTACAATACCAAAGACATCTGGCAAACTGAATGTTCTCTATAAACTGTCGCTCGTGACTACTTCTCAGGCAGGCCAGAAAAATTCTATTGTGGTCATACCAAATTCCACATCAGTTAAATCCATCATCGTCAGTTGTTTATTCTGTTTACCCATCCCTTTTCTCACGTTGCGTGAGTGAGATGGTTGAAAATGTTATTGTCACAACTCATATTATTGGTTCTTCACTTTTGAAAGTAATATCATTATACTCCACATACCGGACATTCCTTAATCATTATTTAGACGTTACTTTGACGTCGAATTCAGTTCGCCGGTATGCGTTTAATTTATTATAGTGTCATTAGTTAAATATGTACGTTTTATCTTTTCAAATTCCACTATAACCAATAGACATTCAGTTAATTAAGCAATAACAATGTTGTCTGTTTATAACAGTATGACCGTCACCGAAATATTTCGCTGCGATACGATTTAACTATGCGAATCTCGTTTATTATTATCACAATATTTGGTCGGCATTATCCATTATTATCAATGCTCAGATAGTCTCTATTTTATCTTAAATACAATCATACTGCAGTTTAAAATGAAATAGAGAATATTCTGCAATTAAATAGAAATGAGATTTAATAAAACCTGTTTTGAATTTTAAAGGTTTCAAACGAGATATATCATTGAGTAATAGAAAACATCTTTCTTTAAATCATCTTTGATCAATTTGTTTACAATCAAATTTAATTTACCTATTCATCTGTTATGCTTAATATGATTGATTATTTTTTAAATGTTTTGCCGTGGAATTATGTCAGATGTGTAGTAAAGTGGTCCATTGGCCGCGTTCCCGAGCTCCGGTATGCGACCGCCACGTTTCAACTCTTTGTTTGATCATCTGACTCCTGATATTTACGCGGGCCACGGTCCGTCTCTCCGACGTCTAGCCGTTTACGATATGAGGAATTTCCGCCGAAACAGAATTTACATACTTTACTTCTACGGTTTGCGACAGAGCCAAATATTTTTTGCTCTCAGACAGAATGCTTGTGTGCGTTCATCGTGGTTTTTCAAGTCTGGTCTGAGATATTGTTTCGCACTTTTTTAATGTTGATTAATGTCTGTTGTTTTGATAAACTTCCAACGAAATGGTGTTTGTCAATGCTTCTGATGTTAATACACGACAGATTTATCACAAGAGAGCATTTGATATTTTTAAATGAGTTTAGAATACTTAAGATTGAAGGGTGTAATAGTCAATTAAATTTTTGTTGTCTTCAGAAATAATGGAGAAGGTAGAATCAGCGTTGGATGTACTTTCCCGAGCAGCGACAATGGTGCAACCATGCCCCGCATACCCCGCTAGCGATTCCGAGGGCTTTGGTAAGTTCTTATTGTAATTCAGTATAATACAAAATAATATTTAAAAATAAATATACCTATTCATTTTTTAATATTAAAAATGAAATTTGTTGCTGTAGCAAAAGTAACTCCAGCATGAAATACTTGTCATTTTCGTGAGCTATTAAATATACCTCCTATTATGATTACTCGTGATAATTCATAGGAAAATCCACTTGTCCAGGACGAAGACTATAATAAATATAGTCATTTTAAATAGGTAATAAGTGAAACTGCTTCAATTATTGTCTTACTGAATGATTTTCTTAGATAACTTAGATAACATTCTAATTTATTTCAATATAAAAATAAAACGTCTGATTGCGATTAAATTTTTGTAAGACCATTTCGGATGTATACTACTATATTTGGTAGACAAATTCAAAAGTACAATTTATGTACATTATGATAAAATTATAGGCAGACATACAAAAAATATCATATATTTTTATAGTTGGTGAAAAGAAAACGAGTGATATTAAATAATATCAACAAACAGGTTAGCGGGAGGTCACTGGTTTAAGATGAACATTGTATAAGACAAATGCATTACTTGATTCGGTTAACAATAACAATGAATATTATATAGTGGTAATCTTAACTACAACTCAATGTTATAATCATTTAGGTTGTTAGCGATATAACCGCAAATCATTAAATATCTACCAACAACTCGGGTTACATACAGCGATATTCTCCTCTATAAAATGTTACCAAGTCTAAGCAATGCCGCCAATAATTTCATGATATTGTGAAGTTCAATAATTTTGCTATGTCAATTATTAATCAGACGCAATGAATCGTCGACTTCCGAATGGCATTTACAAACAGCTGTGATGGCATTCGGCCTTGTGAATGGCTCACATTCCGGAGTCCAGTTTACATCGTTCTATTCACACCCTTTCGTATAAATAGTTTCATTTTTTATAATTAAAAACTAATTTTGAACTTCACATATTCGCGTTTCAGTTTTAGAACAATACTAACTTTTGCCCGCAACTTCGTCCGCGTGGTATAGTTTGGGCAGCAAATATTTTCCAAAAACGCTGTTGTTTTGCGAGCTGAAGATGAAATTACCTTGATGTTTAAGTTCGAAAATACTACAATAAAAAAACACACAACAAATATATGTTCCTATGCACTTTATCTTTGTAAACTTTAGAGATATTAATCCAATTCAATCCAAATTGTAATACAGATGGAAAAAACAGTTCTGAAATTTACACAAATCTTAATCGATAACGTAATCTACGCAAAATTCTTTGCGCAGAACGTTAGCGCAGATTACTTTATAATAAACGCCATCTTGTATAGTATATAACGTCATAAAGCTTAAATTTCTTACTACATTTTGTTTTAAAACTCATTACTCTACTATCAATACTTTAAGATTTAAAATGAAATGGAGCAATTCTTCAGTTTTTTATAGCCTGATGTGCTGTCAACTGTACGGCAAAATATTATCTATGTCAGCAGCGCTTTACACTATGTTAATGCTAGAAATACATGAATAGAAAAATATTTCAGTTTTAGAACAATATGATTAAAACCAGATACGAGCTAGATCAATACTTTTATTATGAATTTCTATTTGATTTACATGTTTGATGTCTTTGATAGTGTTTTAGATAAAATAATTGTAGCTGAGATGCTTGTGTTATTTATTATATGTTAGTTCGTTAGTTATATGCTATTTCTTTTAAAGGTTCACTATATGAAAATGAGCCCACATACCACCTACCTTCCGTAATTAATCCTAACTTATTTATTAAGCTCATTCGTTCAGTTACACTATTCATTGTCTATGTTATTTTGTTTCCGCGTAGTTACTGCTCTACTGACACAATTCATATTATTGTATTACACTAAAAAAAATTATAACAAGTTAAATTATTAGTTATTTAAAATCTAAATTAAAAATAATTAATGATAGTCTAAGTATTTGCTACATTTTTATTTCTTACTTGATAAGTAATGATATTTGTTACAATTTTTAGAAAAAATATTTCAATTAAATACGTTTACTTACCTTATAAGGTATGGATTAGAATAAGAAAATATACATAATCTGTATTAAATAGAATATTACATATATAATCTACTGAGAGAACAAGACTTACTTTAAAATGATAATTTAAAAATATTTCAAGTTCGTATGGTCATGACTTTTTTAAATATAACTGTATATAATTTGGTGTAATTGGAGGAATGTAAGCAACCTTGTGTTGTACTGTAAAGTAATACTATTCAATGTAGCCTACCAAGCAAGGCCCTCTTAAATTTGAACCACAAAGGATACTATTGTTATATTGAACTGGTTTCGCGATAAAAGCATCATTGACAATTCGAACACGGTTCCTCGGTCTGCTGTTGTACCTTTATTGTGCATTGTACGGGTCAAGTTAGTCATTGATAAATTAAAATGACCCTTATCCCATCGGAATAGAGTCCGCCTATAGATCTTGGTGATGTGCAGCTGTCACGCTCACTGTCTTATCAATCTTTTAATTCTGTAAACCGGAACTTCGACATCAATACAGTCAATCACGTGCCGTTACTCAGTCGGCTTATTTGTCACTTATTTTGTATGTCTTTCAATCCAAATTATCTTTAAAATAGAACTAAATTTAACTGATTTCTTTTAGTTTTGTTTGATGAACTCCGAGGAAGGTTCTTATGGAGAGAAAAAATGAAAAAAAGAATAAAAGAAGAAATAGTAAAAACAACATTTATTTTCCTAAAAATACTGCTCAAAACTGCTTTCAAACATTTGACGTCAATCAAAGCAAAACAATGATGCATTAGGATTATCTTTGGTATGTCTTAATTGTGATTAAACTAGGGCATAACAAGGTCTGCCGGGATAGCTAGTTTCGAATATAAATAAATATTAGATAACATTCATCCAAATTAGGAGCTACCTAATTTGGAATCCAATGTTATCTAATATATAAGAGAAGCTTAAATATTAGATAACATATTTAAGAGAAGCTTAAATATTAGATAACATATTTAAGAGAAGCTTAAATATTAGATGACATATTTAAGAGAAGCTTCTCTTCTTAATGGGATACATCATGACTGATAAATTGTAGCTAATATTTGTTAAAACCGACCGTAAATCTGATATTTGTGAGAAGGTTGTAGAGTCTAGTTAGTCGGTCCATCGCATTGGTGATCGGCAACGTGATCTCTTGCCTTCATTATTCCCAATAATGACTAACAGTTCCAAATTTTCGCTACTTCCTCGCATTTTTTGACCAAAATAACATTAGTCGCTGCTAACATATTGTAGAGACGCGTTTTTATATTGAGCTCTGAAAGTACGGACACATTGGAGTAGTATTCAGTAAATCTGAAACAAAGAGTTATTTTCTATACCGACCCGACCGGGAATCAGAGCTTGAAGTGTTTGTATAATGTTTTAAATAAACAGCGCCATTAGTGTAAAATAATCTGTTGTTCTCAATTCACTGTCATTTAGATATTTTTTATTTACATTTTGTATACACAGCTTTCGGCCAGCAACTTTGCCCGCGTGACTTACAAGATGGCTTGACAGTAATTTTATCTCAAAGGAACCGTTAATTGAGATAATTCTATCTACACTAATATAACTATATGTAATCAAACTAGCTGTTTCCCTGCGACTTCGCCTGCGTAAATAATATGCTATGTCCAACGAGTATTAAGTAGCTCCCATAGATGAAAGACTTTCATAAATACGAGGGCGGGATGATAAATAGCTAGCCTAGCATAGAAAAACTTGAATTAGTGGGTTAAAAGTATATTTATTTTTCGACATAGTCTCCTTGAAGCGCTATGCACTTTATCCATCTATGCTCTAAAGCCTTGATGCCATCCCTGAAGTGGTTTTCTTCAAGCCCTTCAAAATAACTGTCCACGGCAGACATCACCTCGCTACTATTTTTAAATCTATGTCTACGTATGAACGCGCGCATTATCCAGATGAAAGATTATTTCTTTTAGCCAAGCCGGGTCTTTATTCACGAATACACACTTGTGATTTATCCAGTAGATCAGCATAATATTCGCCATTTTCGTCTTATTCGTGTTCATCTTAAGACCCACTCTTTGGTCTGCCATTAGGAGTACATCATCGGCAAAGCATAGGTGTGTAAGATATTCGCCATTAATATTGATGTTGTATCCTCTCCAATTCAGGAGCTTGAAAATATCCTCCAACGTAGCGGTGAATAGCTTTGGAGACATAACGTTTCCCTGCCTTAGGCCTCGCTACAATTGGATATGATTAAATTAGATTCTTACACAGACACTTTAGTACCTCGATGTACATGTAGTCCACTTGGCACCTTTGGAGAGACTGCATCACCGCCCATGTCTCGATCGAATCAAAGGCTTTCTCGTAGTTCACGAACCAAGCCGAGTGGCCGGTTCAACTTTAAAACGGCTCTTAAAACTTAAAAAAATGATAAATAATATTTATCTTAATAGCTGCTTATTCAAGAAAAAATGCTATTGAAGTCAGGCGCCTATTATTTAGTTAATAACCTACAGAAGCCTCAACCATCAACCACCCGACTTCAATTGCATTTTCTTCAATTTTAGATAAGTATTAATTATTGTTTTTTTTTTTGCTTATTTAAAATCTTGAAAATCCAAAAGAAGCCATGTCGTTAAAAAAAAAAAATTTAAATAAAAAGTATTTTACCTTCTCTGTGATAAAAACTCTTTTGATTAATATATTTTCACTTATCTTTTTGTGGTTTTGCTAGAACGTATGAATAATGCCTTTCCCTATTGAAATATAACGACAATGGAATTTTACTTGATGGGAAAGCAAAGCTTTCGAGTAAGTACATAGCGAAGAATCGACCCGTACAAATTTCGCCGACCTACTATCTGACTTTTAACTGACTAATAGCAACCCTGCAGCAATATTCGAATGACACACAAACAAATACTACATACTCTTTATAATTTTCTAATTAAAAATACGT